CAAAAACCTAACAAGAGGTAGGTGGGCTGTTTGAAAGTAGTGTTAATTTTAGCACATTATATCAACTTGGAGATGCATGTGATTATATTGCAACTGTAGGCTTTGGGCTAAACTTATTAGTACTTAAAGAAAATTCACAGCTTTTGCTACCTCTTGTGAAAATACACAGCATGTAATACTTAACAAGGGGTAGGATAATTCAACAGCTTGTCCTATCTCTTGAATTATGTTATATCCTACCTCTTGAATTCAACAGCTTATCCTACCTCTTGTGTATTTTCACAAGAGGTAGGATAATTCAAGAGGTATGATATTTTCACAGGAGGTAGGATAATTCAACAGCTTTTCGGAAAATTCACTTTTCTTTAAGTACTTAACAAGAGGTAGGATTTTTTGTTTTTGATGGCCTTGCTCTTGGCATGCTTCTAATGCATTACAATTCTCAAATTTTGGTCCAACTCAAATATCTTATTTTTAGTAGTTTCTTTTTATCGTTTATTCATTTTGTGTTTAGTAAGAAACTATCTTAGTTTGTTGTTTCCTATTTGAATTGGTCACGACACACCTATTTAAGATAGGCTTCAATGACACATCTAATTGTACTTGGTGGACAGCTATGGTGAAAATTGCTCGAGATCGCCCAACAGCGTCTAGGAGACGTAGTGTTGTACTTTCTCAAAAAGTGGCTAATAGACTTCAATGCACTCGTAAGACTAAGGACCAAGGTAGTGGAGTTAATGAACATGACATGAATGACATAGGTGCTGCTCCAGCAAAAATGGTTGAGGTTGAAAATGATAGGGGCAATCAATTGAATGTGAGTGACATGGGTGATGATTTGGGTGATGAACCAACACACATAGGTGATGATCTGGGTGATGAACCAACAGATATGGGTGACTACGAAGACCAACCAACAGATACAACTGAAAAAGTTAATGAAGATCTTACTGGACCTTTTCCTGGAGGGCCATATGATCCTTCAATTTTGAAGAGTTTTCATTGTCACGTAGCAACCAAAATTTGGCATAATGATGTAAGTCATTGTCTTACATTAATTTAATGTTTTAAATTTTGTTTCAACTTTACTAATTCTTTTTTTTTTTTCTTTTTTTTATTCTATGTTGCAGGAACGTGGAATACTTAAATGCTTAAATCATGGTTTTAAAGTTGCAGGATGGTCATTCAACTTGGAAGATAATGAACAGTCCAAATTTCATGGTTTAATTATGGATTCGGGGTTGATGTCTTTAGTGAGTTGCTCCTATAAATTAGTAAACAAAGTTGTAGCTTTGGTCTTTGTGGAAAGATGGCAGCCAGAGACAAACACGTTTCATCTACCATTTGGTGAAATGTCACCAACCTTAGATGATGTTAGTGTAATTCTAAGGATTCTAGTGATTGGTAAATCAGTCTCTTGGAAGAAGTTATCAAATGTTGGCGCTGCAAATCTGCTAGTTGAGGCTTTAGGAGTAACAATAGATGAGGCAAATGTAGCGTTGAAGGTAGCACGGGGCTAGTCTATCAAGGTAGAATGGTTGAGACAACGGTTTGGGTTAGTATCTGAAACGGACAATGATAATACCATTGAGTGTGCAGCTAGGGCATATTTGTTATATTTGTTAGGTTGTACCTTATTTGTAGACAAGACAGGCACATGCGTTCCGGTAGTGTATTTGTCTTTTCTTATGGATTTGCGATCGGTTGCTTCTTATGCTTGGGGTGCAGCTGCATTGGCTTTTTTATACCAGTAATTGGGTACTGCCACAAGGTATGCCGTAAAACAGATGGCGGGATACATGACATTGCTGGAAGCTTGGATTTACGAGCATTTTGTTGGTGCTAGACCCCACCCCAATTTGCACTATAAAGAAGATCAGCCTCGTGTCTTTCGTTGGATTTCTCGCACCCAATCTGGTTCGTCAATGTCTATTTTACAAAGGTTGCGAGAGGACCTCGACAGATTAGAGGCCCATGACGTAAGTGTCAATCTTATGTCAATGTATGTACATATTACTTGCTATTATTCAATCTAATTCATAACTTACATATAAAATTTTTACTATTGTAGGTTATTTGGGATCCATACCATGTTAAGCGTATTGAGCATCATTTTTCTGATGTTGCTTACTATAGTGGATGCTTAAAATGTATGCACATTGTTGAACCATACCATCCAGATAGGGTACTGAGACAGTTTGGTAGGGTGCAAATTATTCCCTCACCTCCGCTTGCTCCAGTTCGAGCCTCTAGAGGATCCACTGCAAAACAGTACATCATTGGCTATAAATACTTGGATACGATTTGGGAGAGTTGGGAAAATCACTTGTTGTTTGAGATAGCTCTTAGTGTTCTAGTCTTGCATCCATGGGATTGTGTGGCAGGTTACTTGGACTGGTTTACTTCCATTTCACACGTGCAAGTTCAAAACCCGACACATCGTTCTAAGTATAACCCACGCACTGAGACATCAGCTGATTATCGTCAACTTCAATTTGTATGTCAATTTTTACCATTTTCATTTTCATATATATTTTGTTTAAGGCAATTGTTAAGTTTTATTTTATTGTTTGCAGCACATTGACAGTGCCTTAAGCATTTCACGTTCAATGCTCGAAATCGGATACAATGAAGCAGCTCCCACCCGAGATATGTTACGCAATGCTATGAAGAAGATAACACAAGTCTTGGAGGGCCAACAGTCCACTGAAGAACATACACCATCAGAGAACTTGGTGTACACTCGTCGCAGGAAGTATGTAGCAACGTCTTAGACTTTAGTCTTTGTTGGGTTCAAATGTTTTAAATGTGTATTTTGAAATCTTATTCTCAAACATATGTTAGACTTTTTGATGGTGTCAGACACAAGTATAACAAAGGTCAGATAACACTTTAGTACATGTTAGTTTGTTTGAGAAAAATTTTTGGCATACATTTTGATGGTGGTTTGTATATGACACAAGTATGAGCTAGGCTTGCATATGACTTTACCATACCTTTTTGGGCACTCAATGAATTATTTTGATGGTTTAGAATTGGTTTGATGGTTTGAATTGGTTTGATAGTTTGTTTGTTTGAAATATTGGTTTGTTTATTGCTTTATGGTCATCGCTGAATAAACAAATCTGAACTAATGAATAAACATGAATTTTTTGTTCATCACTGACTAACCGAACAAATCCTCTTCGTTCAGCACTGTAAAACCGAATCAAACTGACTCACTCAGCACTGTAATACCGAACAGGTAGTCTTCGTTTAGCACTGTAATGCCGAACATATATGGTTTTTTTAGTACTGTAGTGCCGAACATAAATGCTTGCTAGCCCTTTCATAGTTGCTGGCCTACTCATTTCAGCATTGTTGAATAGAATAAAAACAATTTTTTCACCACTGTATTGCCGAAAAAATGTATTTTGTTCAGAACTGTTTTGTCGAACAATAATGATCCTGTCAGCACTGTATATCCGAACAAAATTTGTTCATCACTGTGTAACTTGAATCCATTCCAATTCACTTTTTTCATCAACTTCAATTCAGTATAACATAGAAAATAACATTCATTTCAATTCACTACTTACCATTCCAATTCATTAGAACAAAGAAAATAACATGAATTAAATCCATTCAAAATACATAACTTAAATCCATTTCAATTCACTCTTTTCCATTCTAAGTTAGTTAATTACATAACTGAAATCCATTCTAATTCTATTTCCTAGCTCACTCGTATGACATTAGCCCTCATCTAGGTCTACTGTTTCGATTGTGGCTATGTCTAGACTAATGAGTGATTTGAAATGTTGCACTCTGGAACTGTATGCAACCTCCCATCCTACTGCACAAGGGTCATGGTACCTCTGCCAGTTAGTTGCTATGGATGGAATAGGATGACCAGGCTCCAAAATGAGCTACAAAAAAATAAAAATAAAAATATTAGAATGTACAAAAATGTTGTCGTTATTAAGAAATTTGCCGTTATAATGTACAAGAATGTACAAAAATATTAGAAACTAATACTTGAACAAAATGGTTGTTGTTAACAAAGCCAATACATATCTCCTTGCGAGAGGCAATAGACGTCAGTATTGACCTAAGAGGGAGGAATGTCAAACATTGTTGCATAGACAAGTGGACCAAAATGACTTGGTAGAAAGACGATATAAGATGACCTATGTCAGGCATCGTCATCCACCGGTCCAACCCAGGGTTTGGTTCAAAATATGCCAAGATGTTGGTAAGGTCATCGATTCTCTCTTATGATCCAAATAATTTCCTGTAGTGGTCACTATGCACATGCAACTCTTTAAGTAAATCTTTTCTCACTTGTAACCATCCTTCTTCTCCAAAACCCATCAAACCAGCAATAGCTCGGAACACACAATTGCCATCTGCTGCAACATCCTTAGCGTATTTAATATATTGTCCTAATTCAGAAGGGAATGCCTCTAAAAAGCAATTTGGATTCAATGATCGAAGCCGATGAACCTATCACAGGCCAATGCCAATGTTAGACAATAAAGTAGACAACATGACACAATTACATACCTCACTAGTAAACCATGTACCTTTTTTTTCTTCTTTGTTTTCACCTTTTTTGTTGTTACACTCGCCTTGGCAATGACTCCGGGTGAATAACTATCTTGTGCTGAAGCAACTATTTCAAACGCAGATGGCTCACGACGAATGGAGGTCTCAATCTTCAATTTTGGCCGACCTCGTGGATTAGACTTCACTTTTGGCTCAATCAAAAATGTACAATCAGGTTTGGCTAACTCCTTCAATTTTTGTAACAAAAACCTCTTCACATTTGGATCCACCTCCTCAAATCGTTTGGCAAACAATTCTAACTCAGGTGTACATGTCCACTCTTCACTTACAGTGTGTGGGGTACTCAACATATCAAGCTTAGTCCAATATGAATAAACCAAAGTGAGGGGAATTGGCCGATTTTCCCTCATGTAATTTGGTATCTCATGGGTACATGGCAAACCATGAGTACGTCAAACAACACATCCATATGCAGTAATATCAATACCAACAGAAGATGCTCGTTTAAACTCTGCCAATATGATCTCTAATGCAGTAATTGAGACATTACCATGAAGCTCCTTAAATTGCGCAGGTTTGAAATCATGTTGCACAACTATCTTGCTTTTCTCAAATGATGATTTTATTTCACTATGTTGCAACTCAAGTAAATTGTGTATCCTTGTCCAATTTGACTCAAAATTTTCTTGACTTGATCCAAGATATCTTTTAAGTTTTGCATGTGAACTCTCAACCCTATATATGAAAATAAATTGTTATAAAAAACCAAATTACTAATAAATTTAAATGTTTGTATTTACCTATTTGTTGTAGAATTTTCAAAGTGCATAAATGTGTCAGTCCAAGCAGCCACAAATTTCGACTTGTATGGATCCAAGCAAGATGAGGTAACATAATGAAGTGCATCTTGATAAGTACTGAACTCACTATATAACAAAGAAAGTCGTTACATATATACTTCTTTAGACAATGACATAACCAACATATTTCAACTCATTATAAACATTTCCCATTTATCCTTTGTCTCAAACATCTTTTTGCAATTAGCAAGCACATTTTTTCCAATATGCCATCTACACAACAAATTTGTAGTTGCAGGAAACACCGTACATATGGCATTCATAAGGGCCAATTCTCTATCTGTGACAATAACAGAAGGAAGAGTATTTTCATCCATGACACTACGCAAAAGACCAAGTGCCCATGTATAGTTATCCTCTTTCTCATACTGGGGGTATGCAAATGCAACTGAAAAGGTCATGTCTGTCGATGTCACACCTACAATCTCCAGAATGGGCAACCGATATCGATTGGTCTTATAAATACAATCCATCGGCAATACTTTTGGAAATGCACGTAACAACTTCAAACTAGTAGGATGTGCAAAGAACAAATTAGTCACTGTCTCAGTATCTGCACAGCTCCTATGCCACTCAATGTACTTGTTCATCGCTAACTGACCTAATAGTTGTTGCATTTGAGATCTCCCAGCTTCCTTAGCAACTTTATACTTATGACGTGCATTGTAAATTGTCTTCATTGTGGAAGCATTTGCATCATCACGTTGTTTCAATGTAACCAATATCTCACTTGGTCGTACCATACTCTTCGACATGTCTACCAACAAAGAGGTTTCCTCATGTGATAACCTTCTAGCATAAGAATGAACCTCAAGATATTTTGTAGCAGGATGATTATGCACACCACAAATAACTATCAAGTTCCAGTCATCATATGTGGCTAGTTTTTTGCCCTTCAATAAAAAAGGACATTCACATTTTTTTGTACCAGTCAGTCTTGCTTTTTTTTTCTTAGGCCTGCTATTTTTTCGAGTGTCCCTATAAGATCCACTCCTCTAACAAGCTAAGCTAAGTCTTGGCTTCCTACCTCGAATACCACCTCCATCTGATTTCTGCACGACAATAACGAATCCATTTCTTCTTCCAACTTGACGTGCCCATTGAATTAACTCATCTCGACTCTTGAATATCTGAAATAAATAAATTAAACTAACAAATTATTGCACATAAAAAAGGTACATTATTTGTAAAACAATCAAAGACTCACCCCATAAGTAACAAATTCATTACTATAATCCATTACAAGTTCTGAATTAACCTTACTGCCTCTAGTCGAAGCATCACCCTGAAAACACGTGTGAATGTAATTTCAAAATTGAAAAAATGATGTTCATTTCAACAGTCCTGAAACTAATGGTTTTGTTCAGTTCAACAGTGACGAAAATAAAGATGATATTCGGTTTAACAGTACTAACTATCTGCGTTAATGTTCGGAACCTATGTATTGAACGAAAGGATTATGTTCAGTACTGTATTACCAAACATAATTCTAACAGTCAGCAAACAAGTACCGAACAGCTTGAACGAAACAAGAACGACCGAAAACGACCGAGAATGTTAATACCAGACAGATAAACTTACCAATGGAATACCGGTCTCACTAGAATTATTGTCCTCATCTTCCATTGCTCTACACAGTGAAATAAGTGATGAAATATACATTATACTTGAAGCAAAACTTTCAAGTTCAATAGCGTTGATGATGGTGATGAAGATGACACATTCAGGATTTAAGATGATTATGAAAAATAATAGGTTTAGGGTTTATGTTGGTTGGTTATGAAAAGTAATAGGTTTAGGGTTTACAAACATGGAATACATATAGTTGGAGTTGGAGCTGGGGGTGGGGGTGGGTGTCCAATATTATAGAGTATTAGTTCTAATTGATAGGTGGATGTTCCATTTAATAATGTCTTTTAATGTAATATTACATTAGGGTATAATTGTAATAAAAAAAAATTTATAAAATGGGGGGTTCAAAGAATTTTGGCAGGTGCTAATAGCAGTACTCTAAATAATTTCAAACAAAAGGGCGAAAAGGGAAACTTGCCAAAATACAACCCATTTTATAAAGAGTGCTACTATTAGTACCCCATAAATTATTTGACCCCTTAATTTTTAGCCTTTTTTTTTAATACAATAATAACCTCAAATAAAATTACTACAAATGATATCATTGATTTTGGGACACCCTATCTCACAATTAAACATACACACCAACTATATCATGAATTAGGATTTATAAGAGCACCCACCTTCGTCATCACCCATCCATTTTCTCCAAATTCCACCTTCAAAACCTATCCACCCTTAAAACCTTGAAAACCCTTTGCTTGTAATATTCCGGTAACGGTGGCAACCATTTGATTACCTACATTGAACGGTTAAAACATGAAAATTTCTCAACACATTGAACGGTCAAAATTGTTAACGGTTACAGAAATTTTAATTTTTTCAAGTTCGGGAATACAAGCCCAAACATTACTTATTTGTTCGGGAAGATGTTCTTGAACAAATAAGTAATGTTCGGGAATGCAGGTCCGAACATGGAAAGTTCTTAACACATTGAACGGTCAAAATTGTTAACGTTTGCAGAAGTTTTCATTTTTTCAAGTTCAGGAATACAGGCCCGGACATTACTTATTTGTTCGTAAACACATTCTCGAACATAGATTATTTGTTCGGGAATGCAGGTCCAAACATAAAAATTTGTTAACACTTTCAATGGTTAAAATTCTTAACACTCGCAAAAATTTTATTTTTTCAAGTTCGGTAGTTTCAGTTTTGAAGAAGCAATGTGTGTGTGTGTGTGTGAGAGAGAGAGAGAGAGAGCATACCAACTGTGACAATGGTTAAATCGGCAAAGACAGTATTCTTCTTCTTTTTCTTCTTCGCAGGTTTTGAAAATGATGAGACTCTCATTTTTCTTAATGGGTTTTGTTAGGGTTTTTTTGGAAGGGGAGGTTTTTTTGGGGGTGTGGGGGTGTGCATTCATTGGGTGGAATGTTTAAGGATAATTTTGGTATTATTTGGGGAGAGAGAAAAGAAATTTTAACGGTTTCAAAATTTATAAGTGGGGGTCCAAAGAAATGGGGGGTTCAAAATAATTTATGGGGTGCTAATAGTACCACTCTTTATAAATGAAGTGCCTTTTATATTATGTGGGAAATGCCATCTGTTTTAAAACCTCTACAGATTTTTCTCATTATACCTATTCCTTTTGAATTACTTTGATGTCATATTACTGAATAAACTAGATTTGTCTAGCTATCTGTTGTCACATGTTTACAGATTCACTATCCTTAAAATGTTGATTTTTTCTTTCTAAATTTATGATAGGCTTGTTCGATTATAAATTAATAAACAATTTGGATTATTCCGGTGTCATATTGTCGAACAAACTAGATTTGTCTAGCCATTAGTTGCCGTACGTTTACAGATTCACTTTTCTTAAAATATTAAGCATTCATAAAAACATAAAGTGTGCAAACATCCATAAAAAATATTCATAAAATCTATCGATACATGTTATGTGTTATTTTGCTAATCGGGATTAGTATTAATTAAGTATGATTAGTGAGTCCTAATTACGATCAATTAAGTTTAGTATGATTAAGTTAAACCTAGATTAATTAGTACTAACCTTGATTAATTAACTAAGCTAAGTAAAAGAGTTAAGCAAATTTGGTGAAGCATACAACTCACCTTTTGTCTTGCCTAGTTTTTGTCTTTAGTATTCTTTCTCATCTTAACTTAAGAAAGCAAAAGAAGGGAAGAAAATCTATAGGAGAAAGAAGAGAGAAAAGAGGAGAAATTCAAGAACTTCACCAAAACTCATCATTTAACCAAGCTAAGGTAAGATTTCAATTTCAAATCTTGTAGTAAACCCTCCTAGCACCTAAGATTGAGGAAATGTTGGGATCAATTTTGAATTAATAAGGAAGAGATGAGCGAAAAGAATGAGAAAAGTTGGGTTGGGTTGAAAAATTGGCTTAGAAAATCATCATTTTGATTGAGTCTTTGATGTTCTTGATGCATTTAGGTCTTCATCTTCACATGTTCTCTTGGTTTGCAATAACTTTGTAAGCTACTGTAGGTTTTAAAGGAATGAAAAGGAAGGGTTTGAGTACAAAGTTGAAGTAATGAAATTTTCAACAATATTTGAATTTTGATCATTGAATCTTGAAACCAAATTATGTTTTGATGTTATTGATTTGGAAAACAATCATATGTTCATGTTTGTCATTAAATTTACAAGTTTTAGGTTGAGTTTGCATGAACCCTAGCCTTAAAACTAAGAGAAGAAAGCCTAGAACATGAAGAAATTTCCAAATAGGCCTATTTGCCCAGTTCCGTATGTGCGTCTGAGAGCCCCGCATGTGTAGTCAGGTCCTAAAATCGCAAATTCAGTTTTGAAACAATGGGTTTAGACCTGAGAGTTGCAATCCTTGGCTCGAGCGAGCTTTCCCTCGCTATGTTTTGGAGTTCTTCGCTCGAGCGAGCTTTTCTTCGCTCAAGTGTGCTTCTGGTTGCAGACCTGAAGCTTTGCATTGTTGGCTCGAGCGAGACTTTCTTCGCTCGAGCGAGGTTTTCTTTGTGTCTGGTCGCTCGAGCGACCAATCCTTCGCTCGAGTGGTGTTATATCAGTAGTCAGCAGTGGGATTACACTTCACTTTTTTATCCCTTTTGATTTCAAAACCCTAGATTCATCTCCCTCTCTCTCTACACTTACTTTCTCTCTAGGGATTGATCTACTTCTAGTGTGTTTCTAGCCTAGTCCCTTTGTTAGAAAGGTTGTGCTCGGGGTGGGCTTCGCTTTGATCCGAAAAATCTCGCATTTGAAGCATCTTTCATTTTTCTTCTTATCTCCTTTGAGCTCCTAACTTTGAGGTAGGGATCATCTACTCCTTCTTATGAGTTTTGACATAAATATTAGTGTAGACACCCCATTTTTGACCGACCTTAAGACTCAGACGTCACCAACTGAGCGCTCGGTGATGTTGCATATTGTGCTCGTTCTGAGGTTACAAAGTCTCGGCTGAGAACCTTGCCTCCGGGCTTCGGAACCTTTTTGTGCCTTGCCTTGGTTTGCGAACCAGGTCTTATTTTCTCTATTTTCTCTTCCTGAAGGAAGGGAGAGGTCTCGTAGACCATCTCTCAGTGGCCGTAGGCTACGTTTCGTGGTCGTAGGCCATTTTTCCCGTTTGGAGACCAGTTTCTGGTTTTCGAAGCTGTTGGTCGTATACCTCGGTTCGGGATCGCTTAACTACCTCTGTTTGCTTTGGTTTTTGGTACACACCTTGTTTCCTCTCCTTAGAGGGACACTGTGGCCTGGGAGACCACCTTCGTGGTCGCACGCCACTTTCCATGCTTAACAGTCAGTTTTCGGGGCCCCCGACTGCGCGTTTTGGCCCCCGAACCCTCATTTTGCATCGGTTAGGGTTCATTTTTGGCATGGACCCTAGTTTCATTGTTAGGAAGGTGGTACAAGGGTGGGAGACTACCTTTTCTTCTTGGAGACCAACTTTCTCCTTGGAGACCACTTTTCTCTCTCCTCCAGCCAGTTTTCTTGTCGAGAAACTGGTCTCCCTCACTTTTGAGCCATAATTTCTGGTCTCCCACTATACCATTGAGTTGTATTCACCTGGGAGGCCACCAATATGGGTAGGCCGACCACCTTTTCTTCTTGACCCTTTTGACCCCTGGTCGACCGACCAGGGGGAGTGGTCGACCGACTACCTAGACTGGTCGGCCAGCTTTCTGCTTTTTTGTCTTATTGAGTTGAAGCCAGCTGTGCCAGCTGGAAGCCTCAGAATGCATCCTCCATACACGTGTATAGAGGATGTTTAAGCTTGGTTTTAAGCTTCTTGGAGAAGCTTTAGACCTTCTCCTCTATAAAGGGAAGGGCCCTCTTCTATTGCTGGGGTTCAGAAAAATTGTTGAGGCATACATATATACACCTCTCTATATCTCTCTCTCTTGTGTTCAAAAGACCCTTGTTCTTGGCCATTTACACTACACCTCTTAGCCTAACCTCTCCATCATCCATCCAAGCATCTTGGAACTGATTTGCAGAGGTTGAAGGCTCACCACCTTGGTCCAAAAGTTGCTGGAGGTCTTCTCTACAAGGGTAAGTCTCTATTTCCCCCATTTTGGCATTGTTTTGCTTCATTCTTTAGCCTTATTTGCAAGTATTTTTGGGTTTCATCTTAAACTAAAAAGTATCTTATTTTGAGCTCCTCTTGAAGTTTGATTAAGGACACTTTTCTGTTTGAGGTCATCTACCTCCTTGTATGCTCCATTCCTCTTTGTAGGCTTATTTTGCTTCCTATCTTAGCCTTGCTTGCAAGCATTTTAGAGATTTGTCATAAACTGAAAAGAGTCTTATTTTGACCCCCTCTTGAAGTTTGATTAGGGTAATTTTTCTGTTGGGGGTCATCTACCCCCTTGTATGCTTGTTTGCATCTTGTTTTGAGCCTTGCATCTAGGCCTTTGTTTCATGCTTTGTTTAGCCTTCTAGTCACTGAAATCCAGTGGATTTTCAGTGGCTAGAACATTGTTTTGAGAGCCAAAATCAGAGGGGGGTGACCCCCTCTCTCCTTGTCTTGTTTGTTGGCCTTTTTGGC